ATATAAAAATGGATAAATTATTTATAAAAATAGAAATACTATGTAATACATGCATTAATTTTCTATTTTTAGTACAAATTGTGCACATGACTTTTGGTCTAAATTTTATACACTGCTTCTGAGTTGACTAAATTCTGTTTATTAAACAGAAAAAAATGGAAAGAAGTTGAAAGTAATAATTTAGTGAAGGTAACATAGACGGAAGATGTTATTTTATGTAACATATATTATATGCAATGTGTAGAAAATCTATTAAAAAGAGGTCTTAAACGAATAAAAATCTCAACTGAGAAGGAAGCAGAAGCTATAAGTAAGAAGGAGGTAAGTATGAAGGTTGATCTTATCAGAGCCATCAAAAAAATAATAAAAATCCTATACAATAGAGAACATTTGAAGAAAGAAGGTCCTATATATGCGTTTAATAAATTGCGAGGATTACTTGAAGGGAATGAATTGAGCTTAAAGGACTTTTTTGATTAATTTATTTCAGTATCTCAACTATGTGAGCGTAATGATCAAACAATGATTGTATGAAAAAATTGATAGTGTTTATATGCTATCTCTTTACTTCATTAAACAATACAAAAATTAATTCTTTTAAGTTTGATCTTGCGTACTATTTAGATTCAGTAGGTATAAGCAACGAAGACTTAATATGATGGTAAATCTTGGTGTGACTACAATAGTGAGAGCAGTAAATCATAGGAAGAAAAGAATATCAGATGTCTATGGAAAATATATAGATAATGCTCATAAAATATTCAGAAAATACCTTTGTATTGAATGTTAATAATTATCACAACATTCATATTTAAGGCGATCTGATACTATGAGTACATCTTAGCAACGTACATAACAATAATTATAGCAAATCCATGTCTCACACTGGTAATACCATATAACAGAGCAATTAATTTAAAAGTTATCAATAATAAAATGATTAAAAGACATCTCAATATGTGATTTACTGTAAACCTTGAGATTTCTTATCATAATCGTAGTCGTATGCCAGATTATGCAGGTAATTTTTATAAAGAATGCTGTTATTGTGATATTTATAACATTTATATAAATTATATATATTTTTTAATAATATGGACTCTTTATAATAGAAAGAAAGAAAACTACCAAAAAACTTTTTTTGAGTTAATGTAAAAATCTGAACTTATTTTATTAAAAAATTAATATTTAGCTTATAAAATAAAAAAAAACTTTTTTGATAATTTCCTTTCTTTTATTATAGAGAGCTTATATTATTAATAGGTAAAAAAGAATATAAAATATATAATCCTAAAAATCTACTTTTACGCATTTATAGATAGTTTAAAATTGTATTTATCAGCTAAATTAAGCAAAAATAACTAAAAAAAAAATAATTAAAAATTAAAATTTGGTATGTTGTTTATTTTTAATAGACTTATATATATATAGATTGAAAAATTAATAAAAATTTTAATAATAGAAAAAAAAGATATAATATACTATTTAATTTAAGAGCAACTCATTTTTCACTTTCTTTTCTGATTAATTTTATGCATCTAATTTATGAGAATATTACTGGATATATATATGTTTAAACTTTAAAATAAAATATTCTTTCTAAGTAATAAAACTCAAGATAATGATAATTATATATTTAATGAATCTATATGAAAAGAAATAGGAATTGAAATAGATTGTATTTATAAAATAATTCTAGCTTATCTTAAACGATCATCATATAATATATTTCTTTATCATAATAAATATAAAGTTAAAGAATAGGCTGCATAAATAATATTATATTCTTTATCTCTTTTAAAAGAATAAATGCTAATAAAATATTATAAAGAATAGATAAATTTTGTTAAAGTTATACAGTTATGTTAAAATTAATTTTAACTACAAAGGATATAAAAGATATCTGATCATTATTTCAATCATTTTATAACTATTATGAAAGGTAAAATATTATTTTTAAATAGTCTGATTTAATTAATAAAATGAATTAGTATAATGAAGCTATGTTTTTATAAAATATATTACATATAGTTTATAGTATTGAAAGTACTGATTCTTACTAAACTATTTAGTAATTTTTAATAGAATAAGTATATAGAATGCTTACTTTTTTAGCCTAATCATGCTTTTATTTTTATAAGAATATAATCAATAATATCATATTTTGAGAGTTATTTAATCATTTATGATTTTATTTATCCATATACATAAAAGTTTTTTTTCTTGACAGATTAAAGATTATAATAGTAATATTATATTTTTTTAACCTGAAACAGATGAAGAGTTTTATTTTCTATTGAGAAAATATAATTTTAATTAATTAAAATTGAAAAAAATAAAAGAGCATTTTTTTGTTTATTATATAATGTTATAAATTGAAAACTTAAAGTTGGTATATTTTTATTTTTATTTTGAATATTAATATGATTATAATATATTTAATTATATTTTATAGATTTTTTTAGCAAATGATATGAAATATGAATGTTTATATACAATTAGCTATACTTAGTATATATATGCTAATCTAAATCTTATTATTATACATTATTTTATAATTATAGAAAAGATTACATTAAGCTAGAATAATTGATTATTTATTTAATGAAAAAGACTTATTGATTAAAAAAAAGAACTTAATCTAAAGCAATTTTTTAATTTAGATGTTTAAGATAAAGAAATAAATTTAATAACATTGGAATAAATTATATATTTTAATAAAATTTGATTAGAAAAAATTTTTTTTTTAATATGAATTATAATTAAAAAAGTTACTTTAATTTTAAAGTTTTATGTTTAATAGATACATTACTATTGTGAATCCTATATAATTATTGAATTTTTTTTATAATAAAATTATTGAATTTTATGTTTATTATACAATTTATATCTTATTTTTATATATTATTATTAGATATTTCAATTATATAATTAATTTATTTTATATAGAAAAATTTCTAATAATGCAAAATCTAAATTATCATTTATTAAAGAATTTAAAATAAAATTATATTTATTATATCAAGTAAAAATTTATACATTTTTAATCTATTATATGTAATGTAAATATTGATTCAAAATTTTTAAATAATACTTATGATTCAATTTATTAATTATATATAATTACATTATTAATAAATTTATAATTTATATGTATATAGCATACTATATATATAACTTGATTATTTTATAAATTTTATATAAATCAAATTTTAAAGTTGATTTAGCCATAAATATGTATTTAAGTTTAGTGTTATCATGATTTTGCCGCAGTTTTTTGTTTGCTAAATTTTTTTAGGCTGACAATAAAAAAAATCAGCTGGTAAATTGACAAAAATCACCTTTCTGCAACTATCGGATGACTATTTGAAAGAGAAATTCACGTGTCGGTATCTAATCTACCTAATCAGAAATATAACTATAAATACTCTGGTCAAATGCGCATTTAAATTTTTAAATTTTTTAATTCAAATGTCATCTTTGCAAAGAGAGTTGTTTAAAGGAAAGGGTGGTTTGGGTGACGCTGTTGAAAATAATGGTAGTAGTTCAGAAGTTTTAGAGCTAATAGACGACGAAGAGGAAGAGGAAAAAGATACCTTTGAAAGTTTTCCCACAAAGTATGTGGATTGTGACCTCTAACGAAATATTTTGTAAAACTCTTTATGTGCCCTTTTCTCCTTTTTTTTTTACTTTCTTTTTTTTTTGATTTAGTTTTCTAAGCATGCAACGCAAAAAAAAAAATTATACCCCGGTTCCTTGGGAGACGTGTTTTGACAGTTGCAAAGAGATTAAAATACCAAATTCTGATGATATATCCTTCGATTTCTAAATGTTAATTGAACGAAATATATATATATATCTCTATATATTCCTTGACAGAGTGTAATCCTTATTCACGTATTTAAAACATATGAGATACGTGGAACTTTGGAAAATTGTCCACTTTTCGTTTTTCATCATGGGGCTGGATATTCCGCATTATCATTTGCTTTAACATGTTCTTACATCAAGCAATTGATGAATGGTAGTTATACTATGTTTGTGTACGACTGTAGAGGGCATGGTACGGTTTGATAAACATTAAACCTATGTATGGTAAGGGGAAGCCAAGATCTAATTCTTTTTTTTTTTTTTTTAAAAAAAAAAAAATAATAATAATAATTTTAGGGGATACCAAGACGTCAGAAGATTATAATCTATCATTGGATAGGTTAAGTAAGGATCTAGTAAATGTGTTGAAAGCTGCATATGGAGAAGACGTTATAACGAGTCGAGATATATTCTTGGTGGGACATAGGTATGCCAGAATAACTTGATCAGTTATTGAAAAATCAAAAAAATAAACCTTTTAAATTCATTTAGTATGGGAGGATGTGTTGTTGCAAATGCGGCTTCAGAAAACTTAATTCCATCTATGACTTGTATCGCCGTAATAGATGTCGTTGAGGGTATGTTTTGAGCGTTAAAGCTAAGGATTTAATTAAAAAAAGGAAAAAAAAAAAAAAAATTCACGAGGCATGGAACTTACATTTAGGGTCAGCTTTGGAAGCGGTTTCAGGAATGTTGGATTTTTTGAGAACTAGGCCAACAGAATTTAGATCAATTGAACATGCAATTGAATGGAGTGTAAAGAGTTCTACCATACATAATGCAGAATCTTCTAAAATATCTATACCAAGTTTATTAAGAGAACAAGAATCAAAACAAACTGATGCCGTTAAGTACGTTTGGAAAACTGATTTAGCCGCGTCTCAACCATATTGGAAAGGTAGATAATTCTAAAGCAAATTATTTCTTTTTTTTTAAAAAAAAATAAAAATAAAAATAAACCAAAATCATGCTTCATCGTAGGATGGTTTCTTGGTCTATCGGACAAATTCTTATCAGCCAAAGCAGCGAAATTACTTATCCTTGCGGGAACTGATAGACTAGATAAAAAATTAACCATTGCTCAAATGCAAGGTAAGTATCAGCTTCTTGTACTGCCCGATGTGGGCCACATGGTACAAGAAGATGCTCCTGATAGAACCGCTAATGCCTTAGTGGAATTTTGGAAAAGGAATGAAAAGTTAGTCTTACCTGTAAAGAAAGTCACATCTTAAGTTATTTTAAGGTTATGAATTTAAAATAGAAACAATAATAATAAATGATGATGATTATTATTATTATTTAATGATTATAAAATGTACTTTTAACAGGATTGATTAACCCGTGAGAAATGTGGGAATAAAAATATCCCGAACTAGTTATCTGTAGTTGAATTCATAGAAACTTTTGGCATAAATGTTGATATTTTGTTGATACGTAACATCATCTTTTTTCCTTGTATGAATATTTTATGTGCATTATGTGTATTTACGTCTATTATAACAAATTTTAAATTTATCAATTCAATAAGAGACGATTTATTGAATCAGTCACACAACTCCCAAACATAAATTAATGTTTTTTTATGATAAAACTTTTTGAAAAAAAAATAAACATATTAATTTAGATTAGATAATATTTGAAATTAACAAACTCTATTTTTTGTTCGCGTTTCTCAGAAAATTCCAACTAATCTGATTTCGTTGGAAATGAAAAATAACTTCCCATGATTTCAAGTTTTTTATCAGGGGGCTCAAAAGGTTGTACAATTTTACAAATACTCAAAGTAACAAGTTTGATATAAATAATATGATTTTTATTTATAAAAAATATACATATAAATATTAATGATTAACAATTAACAAATATTAAGAAAAAAAAAAAAAAAAAAGTAAAGAACGGTAAAAACCAAGCAATTAAACCAAAGGGGTAAAGGTCAAATACAAAGTTTAAACTATTCGAGGTATAATAAGATGAAAATGAATAAAATATAAACATTGAGTATAATTATGAAAAAAAATAAAATAATATGAACATATGAAAATGACAAAATAGTTATGAAAATAATAAAAAAAAAAAAAATAAGGATCAAATAAAAAAATGCCAACGAATAAAAAATTATATACAAGGAAATAAAAAAAAAAAAAATATACAAAAGCTTGAAATGCTGCGGAATGCGAAGCTTGGGCAACGAACTCGTGATTAGTGATCGAAACTTCACGTGACGGATGGAAATCAGGGATATCTTTTTTTTTTTTAATGTTTAACAATAGTATCGCTACCACCGTTCATGTTCAAAAGACCGAAATCATTCGATTCTTCGACGATAGGATCCAAAAACATCGAATTTCTATTGGATCTGATAGAAGCCCTACTTCCTTTTCTTTTAACAGCACGTTGATTGTTATTGACCACGGGGGAAGGAAGCGTGAAAACAAAGTCTCTCTGTTGCTGACCGTTGTTGTTATTACCGCTACCATCTAACGCGAAATGATCATTAACATTATTAAATGAAGGGACCCTTCTTGGCAATAAAATTGGACTTTCCATCGGACTTGAATCAGACGAAGAAGGAAGGAAAGATGGTGGGTAAATTTCGGTGGTGTAAACGTGTCCTGAAGTGGTTGATGATTGAGGAGAAGTTGAGAAAACTTGTGCGTTCATGTTGATAAATATTTAACAGTTGAAGGGTGAAGTAAAGGGGAGGGGTTTTTTTTTTTGCAAGTGATCGTGAAAAAGAGATTTTGAATCCGCAAGTAATGTGGTGGCAAAGTAAAATAATTATTGCAAAGCAAGGTTTTTGACTTGTATTTATAATAAGAACGTGTGGTGGCTATTGCACAGCCCTAAAATCTCATTAATGAATCAAAAAGTTATTGTAAAAAAAAAAAAATTTCGTTAGGAGGAGAGGAGAGGGAGGGAGATATCGTTTAAGAAAAAATATATTGATGAAGGATTTTTATTCGTTTGAAAGAATTTATCGTTATTGCATTAGGGGAAAAAAAAAAAAATTTTTTTTTTTTTTTTTTTTTTTTTCTTTTTTGGTGGAAATAAAAAAAAAATTTGATTAAATTTCAGAGGCATTTTTATAACAAAAAAAAACAAAAAAAAATCGTGAAAAACGTGGTTGATTTAATAATATAAATAATAATAATACAGTATATAGTACCACTTTATTATTTAGGGAATTTTTTTTTTAACAAACAAAAAACTTCTTACTATTCTTGTATAGATTATTAAAAAGTGTTCCTGAAACACATGTATGTATTTTTAAAAAATTTAATAATAAATATGTTTGCAACTTAATCGGAAAATCGGTGTAAAACAAAATCTCAAGAATTTCTTATTGTACTAGTCACAATAAATTATATCATTATGAAATGATATCAACTAAAAATAGAATTATGTTTGACGAGAAAAATATTGTTTGAATTCTTGTTATCTTTGAAAGAAGGCTTAGTTTGTTGGGTTTAAAAAAAAAAAAAAAAAAAAATCGAAAGATGAGTGGTTCTTAAAATTACAAAATATAGAAATGATTATGATAAAAATTAATATATTTTTCGGATATATGTGACTTATTATTTATATACATGTATACGCGTGGTAACCTAAATAAAGAGATAATAAAGAGTTAAAGATAAGCTTAAATATATTATCCATTTGAAATGAATCCTTATTGGTTTATGACATTAGTTATCCAACTTTTTGTGATCCTATAACGTGCAACAATAAAAATAACAAAAAAATCGCTTAATAAATATTTGGGAATTTATTTTTTTATATCACCCAAACTTGTAATTCCGACGATACTATACCGGTTTCCGAATGGTGATTTTGGTTTGAAAATCACTAAAATCCTCGGAATCCTCCATACCGCCCATAGGTTCTTAGGTGATCAATAACCAAAAATGTAAATTTTCTCACAATTCTTATATTAGAAATTCATCAACTTGCGTCATTATTATAACTTATATCTTTATAAATGTCGTAATTAGACGCCAAACAACAATTGCTTTGGGAAGAAAAAATGGATCAAATCCGATTCCTTAAGCAATTACGGCATGCGGTAAGGTATTAAAAACCCAAGTTTTTTTTTGTTTGAAATTTATTAAAGATTAATTTTTCTTTTTTTTTCTTTTTGCTATTGAAATTTAATTGGTTCCGAGCTATAAACAAATAAATTATCATTTACCAAATGTGAGCACCAATACTTGTTTAAATATTCTGGTTATTATATATATAAACAAATAAAACAAGAATTTGCGAACTCAATAAGATCAAATAAATTTTATAATTTAAAAAGCTCTAGGTTCAATCATAAAAATGGAATGATGATTCGATAAATAATAAGAAAATCCAAATAATAATTACAAATAATTTCAAACAATACAAAAATCTCAAAATAATAGATGTAATTATAAGGATGACTTTCCAAATTTCCTTCTTAAATTCTATCTTTGATCGACGCATAAAAAAATTAACGTTACGAACAACCTTAAAATTGTTTACAAACTACCTATTTATATAAAAATATAAATATCATGTGATATTTATTAAATATTTACGATATCAACTATAGAAGTGCTGGCTGAAAATACGCGCGAAATAAAAATTATAATGAAATTCTTTATTTTAATCAAAAAAACGTACATATAAAAATATACTCAAAAATGAAAAAAAAAATGTTTATTTTAATAAACTAATAGAAAAAAAAAAAGTTAGATAGATACCTATCAAAGAATTGTTGAAATTATACATTTTTAAAAGAATGGAGTTTTTTTTTTCCTTTAAAATGTAAAGATTTTCAACAAATTTAATTTGTTAAAAAAAAAAAGAACCTTTGTGCCAATATTACAAATTGGAATAGCTCTAAATGAATAGAGCCTGTTTAAAATTTCATTCAAATTATTGAATGAAAAAGCAAATGTTACTAATGATAACAAGTGCCATTGAAGTTTCAAATGATTACCCATGTTTCTGTCCCCCAATAGATTTCATCAATCTTTCCATACCGTCATCATCGTCGTCAATAAAGTCATCAATAAATTGATCCGAATCATCAGGAATGTCATCATACATAGCATTGCCATTATTATACATGGCGGTGGTGGTATGATGATGAACACTGATAGTAGATTGATGATCCATAATGCCATTTGTTCCATTAGTTTCATGAGGTGAGTTCTGCCGGGGAATGTCTTGGAAAGGATTATTCGCTCTATTATTGTTTCGAATGGCGATTTCGCATAATGTATCATGAACAATCCAAGGAAATGTGATCATGTTTTCTGAAGCATCGTCTCCCAATTCGGAAGGATGATACGTTACATAATACCACGCAAATGCTTTGGCCTCCATTCGATTACGAGCTTCTGGTGAAACCATATTAGTTCCTTCACCATAAAACTCTTTTTCAAATATTCTCCTGTAATGCTTTTTTAATGGACCCATAGCGTCTAAAACAGATTTCGTGACGTCGCGCGGCTTCTTTCGATCAACTTTCGTGACCGAGTTTACGATAAATCCGCTGACTACCTCAAATTCCGTCATAATACCAAATTGGTTCATCAATCCTCTGATGTCCTCATCGTATGTTCTTTTGAGAACCCTTGCTTCCTCTAAATACGCTCTATATCCTTCCACATATAATCTTTCATCAAAATTCAAATGGGTATAGGGTTCGAACTCTGCAACCTCAATAGAGCGGTACATAATACCCAAGACCTTTTTAGATTCATAGCTATTTTTGTCGGGCTTTTCCATAAAGTCTGGGAAAGAACGGGCTCGGAGCTCATTTGGAAAGATTGCCGGTCTTCCTGTTTTGGGGAAATCCACGGCTTCAGAATGTAATTGCGCAAGGCGTATACATTGCCCATGAAATGCGCCACTATCCGAGTGATCGGCTTTTGCCAAGTGGGCATTCGCGATCATACCCAGTTGATCAGACAAGATATAATTCACGAAAAACTGCTTGATATGCGTCATGGTTACTTTATC